AATATTTGGGTTATGTTGGTGTTATCGGTGTGGAGCTCTCTGACCACAGCTTTGAGTGGGTAAAAGTTTAAAAGAAAGCCCCTGCGATCCAAGATGGCGCCGTATTCAAATGAATGGTTGTGCTCAGTGGCGCTTTGTGCCGACATGGGGGCTGAAAGATTACCAGAACTCCGCCTAGAACTCGCAAAGGTCTATGGGAAACTCGCTGTATTTGGGCATCGTCTGGTCCTCCCGGTTCTGCACAGTGGACGAGCTCCCATGAGGCGTTGCGAGAAATCCCAGTGCGTGGGTCTCATGCACGTGCACAGAGGGGCTCGGCTGCGCTCTGACCAATCAGAGCAGTTCATCAGAGCGGGAGTTAGAGCAGGAGCCAGACGAGCAGAGTTTGTGGCACTAAAGTGTGGATTTAATGAAAACCGAAGGATTTATGAAAGCTGTAGGTTCTCTGTCAGGTTCTCTGTCAGCTGAGGTCGAGCTGTTTTAGTTTCCGTTGAGTTCTATGGGGAACATTTCTGTGTAGCCCACGTGAATGTATTTATTATATTAGATCCATGATTTAAAGGAGGATTTTACTGAATTTTATGAAAGAACCGCCCTCCCCACTTTTTGAATAAATCTGGTCTTATTGGACAAGGACGTATCACCAGAACAAATTATAATTTGGAGGAACAATAGTCTTGATGATCCACCCGGAAGTAGAAAATCCTCCTATAAATCTTTAAGTGAGGAGGAGAGCTCTGATGGTGTAAAGTCCTCCCTCAGACTCCTGTGTCTGGAGCACTGGGTAATCAATGACAGAGCATTAGCTTCTATCAGCCTGTTCAGGTCAGGTGTCAGACCGGAGACACCCGGGCCCCTGCCCCCAGGCCCCTGCCCCCAGGTTCCTGGCTCCAGGCTCCAGACCCCAGACCAGTCACACATCCATCACATTGTGCAGCTCTGCAGAATGGAGAGAAAACATTGATTCATTAAAACAACAATATTCAAAAAAGACAAGATTCAAGTCTCACAACATTGTGCTCAAAGTGGAACAGGATCCTCTTCGTTTACGTCCATTTGGAAACACACTGATACACGCACACACTTAGACACACACACACTCAGACACACATACACACACACACACTCAGATACACACACACACACACACACACACACACTCAGACACACACACACACTCAGACACACACACACACACACACACTCTCAGACACACATACACGCACACACACATACACACACACACACTCTCAGACACACACACACACACTCAGACACACACACTCTCAGACACACTCTCAGACACACATACACACACACACACTCTCAGACACACACACACACTCAGACACACACACACTCTCAGACACACACACACACACACACTCTCAGACACACATACACGCACACACACATACACACACACACTCTCAGACACACACACATACACACACACACACACACACACACTCTCAGACACACACACACACACACACACTCAGACACATGCTTGCTAACTTGTCAGTGGTACAGAACAGCAGCTTCCACCTCCTACAGATTTACTTTTACATCTGTAAACGCCGCAGTAAAATAAAATGCTGTCTTGTTTGTGTAAAGTCTTCCTGTTCTGAGACCGTCCTCTTGTCTCCGCAGAGCCGCCCCCGACCACCGCGCCGCCCCCCACCACCGCGGCGCCGCTGACCTCGGGCGCAGGCACCGCTCAGGACCGTAGACGCGGCCCGCTGCCCTCCGCCTCCTCCACCGCCGTGCTCCCCCCTCAGTCCTCCACCCTGGGCACGGTGGTGGGCGGAGCCGTGGGCGGGCTCCTCCTCCTGGTGCTGCTGCTGATCCTGGGCGCCGCCTGCTTCATGCGGCGCAAGCGAACCTTCCGCGGCGACTACTACACCAAGCAGTACCTGGGGCCCAACGACATGCAGAAGGAGGCGCAGCTGGATGTTCTGCAGCCGCACGAGATGCAGGAGGTCTACGGCGACAAGAGCAGCAAAGGAAGCCAGGACCTGAAGCCCAAACTGACCAGCGACGTCATCTACCCCGAGTACAAGGACGAGTGGGCGGACCGCGGGGACAAGCAGAGGAGCGTCAAAGATCCAAACTATTACCCCAACCACTACAACAGCCACAACGTGCATCCGTGTGGGCCCCCGGTGCATGGCGTTGGCAGCACGGGGAACGGGTCGCCCTACGCACCGCCGGAAGATCGCTACGGCAACGACAACCCGGCGGACAGTGACTACGTGTCCCACATGGACGGCTCTGTGATCTCGCGGAGAGAGTGGTACGTTTAGACTGACATAGACTAGAAGCCGGACAATAATCAACGGTGAAGAAGCAATGGCCGCGCGGAGCCTTGACTGTAAGCACTGGACTTTAGATGCAGCTTCGACGCGCAGGATTAAGCTAAAAGAGGTCGGATCGGTCACACAGACTTCGGACTCCAGTGGACCACGAATACAGAGCCGGGATCTTAGGAACTGTTGAAGCACAGGTGTCCACATGTGTTCAGTGTTTTGAGATGTATGCATTTTAGAATATCTCAAGAGACACTATTCCTTAAGGAAGGCTTGAAGCTTCGGTCTCCGTGGCAGTTGAGTGATCCGTCTTTGAGATCACGGGCAGAAGAAAAAGGCCTGCGCACACCGATCCACGCCGTCAAATTTACACACTGTTTTGTTGTGTCTCGCTGGAACTCAAACCCAAAATATCTCCAAGTCTTTAGATTCATAAACAGACACTGAACTGAATCTTTTCGGTCAATGGCGACACTCTTGCGGTGAGATCGGTTCGCCCAGGGCTTAACCTACCTTGACGGTGAAAGTACAGCCTTTTATATCATTCATGCCGTTTCTGCTGGAGCTGCCTGTTATAGTTTGGACACCGCTGTATTAGAAAGTCAGGTTGAATGCTGATATTTGGGTTTTTCAGTATTATGACTTATGGAGGACAATGGCACTGCCTCGATCGTAACCACTGGACCTTAAGGAGCTTGGACACGCCGGGATCTCGGGAACCACTTCCCAGACGGCTCTTCCCGCCTAGAAGTGAGAGCCACGCGGCGGGAGTGGGAGTGGCCCGTAACACCCGCCATGCCTGTGTTAACATGTCTGGGGAAGCTGCCTTTTAGAAATATTATTTGAACGTAAGTTATTTAAGCGAACGTGTGTGGTTAGATTTGAGGTTTCAGTTTTGCAAATTGTGTAATCCATGTGTTCCATACAAACTTGCATTACTCAATTCAATGTATTTTGTATCGCCCTAAATCACAACACGAGTTATCGCAGAGGACTTTACAAAGCTGTGGATTCGCCAACACAAGAATAAAACATTTCAAAGGCAGGAAATGCAATGATTAAAACACAGAGACATTGGTCCATAAGCAGCAGCGACTAATGTCCATAACTGTAGATTAGTTCCATAAATGTGGTTGAATGTGGAGTGTCATCAATCATCAACAATAGTTTAAAAAAAATATATATATATTTGTGTTATGTCAAGGCCTGACGACCCATGGCAGATGGTAAAATTAAAAAAAATACCCCAAATACAACCAAAAATGTCCTTGGCAACCATTGAAAACCATACAGGCATGAATCAATATATAAAAAGACAAAACAAAAAGGATGGACAGACAAGAAGACTCGACAGATAGAGACACAGACAGAGACACAGACAGAGACAGACACACAGACAGAGACACACACACAGACAGAGACACAGACAGAGACAGACACACACACAGACAGAGACAGACACACACACAGACAGAGAAGACAGAGACACAGACAGAGACAGACACACACACAGACAGAGACAGACACACACACAGACAGAGACACAGACAGAGACACACAGACAGAGACATACACACAGACAGAGACACAGACAGAGACACACAGACAGAGACATACACACAGACAGAGACAGAGAGACAGACACACACAGACAGACACAGAGACACAGGCTAGACACACACACAGACAGAGACACAGACAGAGATACAGACAAGACAGACACACAGACAGAGACACAGACAGAGACACAGGCTAGACACACACACAGGCTAGACACACACACAGACAGAGACACACAGACAGAGACGCAGGCTAGACACACACACAGGCTAGACACACACACAGACAGAGACACACAGACAGAGACGCAGTCAAGGCACATACCAGACAGAGACACAGACAGAGGCACAGACAGAGACACAGACAGAGACACAGACAGAGACACACACACAGACAGAGACACACACACAGACAGAGACACAGACAGAGACAGACAGACAGAGACAGACACAGCCACCTGCTCAGGGACTACAGGTGTAAATTAGCACTGCTGCTAAACCTGGTACAAAGCATCTCTCCTTTTGGCTAATGTTTATTGTACACTGTCCCTGTAAAGGTAAAAAATCATACCATGAACAGACCGAGACGGACAGAGACACAGACAAAGACAGAGACACAACATTCATTCCCATTCTCATTCTTTCACCAACTGTTTTAAATATTTGATATCGATACCGGAGCGATGACTCACACATATCCGCGGTACAACAACAGACGTCCCTATGCAGTTTTAATAGTATATTAACAGTATTTCAAAGCGTCCTGAGGTCCAGATGTGCAGCTGTCTGTGGCTCCAAAGTCAACAGTAGATCCTCCAGGCGCACACGTCCTGCTGAACCCTCGGCTTTCTACGGCTTTGAACCACCCTCCAACATCACGCCCTCGTCGGAAACAGACCCTGTTTAGCTCCATCCACGTGAACTGATCCACTTCTGTCCCAAATGCTCGTTTTCAAACCTCAGACTGATCTGTCTTTTTTTGCCTCATTTGGAACTAGTTTCTTGCATTTCTCCAAATCACGTTTACTATTCACGTTTAATTCAATTCAAAATATTCTTGTATAGCTCTAAATCACAAAAGTAGTTATCTCTGAGGACTTTACAAAGCTATTTGCCAACACAGATCAGAGAATTAAACAGTTAAAAACACATAGATTGGTCCATAAGGAGCAGGGACCAATGTTCGTAAATCTAAGGACCGTGGATCATCATCGCTGTCCTTAGACGTCGGCAAAGACAAACTCTAAAAACCCAGTGGGAGGAAGTGAGAAACCTCGGGGAGACCCAGACTGAGGGAGAGATCCGCTGGTTCCTCAACACCATTTATGGACATTGGTCTCTGCTCCGTATGGACCAATGGCTCTATATGTTTTTAATCACTGCATTTCTTCTTCTTTGAACTGATTTTCTGATCTGTTTTGGCGAATTCAACGGTTTTGTTAAGTCCTCCGAGATTTAGGGCTATTCAAGAAGAAATTGAATTGAGAATTGAATTGAATCAAAAAGATGCAGCGTGCTTCATTCGGCAAGATGCTTTTATGATCCATTACACATGATTAAAGCTGGGGTGTGTAACTTTCAAATCGCATCAATTGGAACTGTAGAATAATCCATGTCATAGTGTAGTGTTTTTGGGCTCTAACATCTATAAATCAGCTTTCTCTGACGGAAAAGTGAAAAAGAGAGAACCAGCCTAACTCAGCCAATCAGCTCTCAACCCAAACAGTCAAAGAGTGACTTTCAGGGATGTAGTTTTATCTGTTTGCCACATTTAACTTATAAGACATGTGTTTTTGAGCGGGAAAGTGAGGGACCCCAGCTTTAAGTTCCAGCACAGACACAGTAATCTCGTTGCAAAGTTGTGCTTTTCTTCAGCTGTGGCCTTTGAAGGTTAGCATCACGTCATTCTGATGCACTCGCCGCGGCTTTGGCTGCGCTGCTCTTTCCTCCACACTTCATGGAAAAGGAGAAATGTAAAACCAGACTCGGAGAAATCACAGTCATCGCTGCCAACGGAGGAGCTCTGCAAACAACTCCATGATCTCACCCACTGCCTGAGCTGCTCCGGTCGCTACGGGACGCAGTGGGAGAGACGCCGCACTCGTTTGAAGCTAACGCTGTGGTGTGTTTTGTCTCTTTGACGTGATCTTGGTGTGTTTAAGAATCTGACTTTAATCATATATTTCTACAAACATGACGGATATAGATCGGGAGTCGTGAAACACCTCCAACTAGTGGCAGAAGTGGGAAAATACTGTTGTGAAAAGTTCTAGTCCTTGATCTACAGCGGAGGTGTCAAACTCATTTTTGTCGGGGGCCAAACTTATCATAAGAGCAGGTCGGGGCCAAAAGTATAAAAGTGGTTTTCTTTTATTATTGTTATTTATTTTTACATACATTTGTATTTTGACAATATTTACATTCAACCACAATTGTGCCAAATATCAAGACGAGATGTAATTGAAGACTGAACTATAATTTCTAACTAGAAAATATATCGTTAGGCCCCCTTACCCACTAATTAGTTAAAAGTTATGTTAAAATTACCCTATTATGGGGTTGTTTTTCTGTGAAATTAAGTATAACATGCCATAGTTTCCCATCAAGGGCCACTAAAAATGTCTTGCCGGCCGGATTTGGCCCAAGGGCCTGAGTTTGACTTGCCTGAGCTGCAGTCTTTCACATGTTTTCTTTTGGCTGTAGACTTGAAAGAATTTGCTCAAGAAGGGGTGAAACTTTAATTATATGGCACTAAAATATATCTTTAAAAAAACCACTTGATAAAATGGCATTTCTGTTTTTACAAATGAACTATTTATATTTGACGCGACTCACACTGACGTTATGGAGAACCATGAGGTCACAGTGTAAGGAGTTTGAAAAGAGAGCATTTAGACAGAAGGGGCAGGGGGACGTGTTTGTGAATATTTATAACAGAAGGTCCTTTCAGCGTGGACGGAGCTAAAGACTCAGCGTGGACTTTGACAAGGAAACAATGTTGGAACATACCTTTTTTTATTTTTCCCAATTAATTATCATTGTGTTGAATCCTTGAAAGTGCCTGAAATGTCACAAATGAATTTAGCATATTCCAGGCTGAGCCACTGAGTATTGGCGGCCATCTTGGCGGCCATCTTGGACACAGATTAGATAATTCTTCGATGGAAACAGATGGATTACAAAGTGACGTTTTGCAGCTTTAACAGCCTCGCACTGATCTGCTCCACGCGGTGAACGTGTCCAAGGCTTTCGTCCGACGCTCGGGACCCGACCTCTCGAGCTCGTTTCGCTCTTGTACATATCAGAGATTTCCGAGCGCGGTGCCTTCACGTGAGCAGAACTGTGCGCTCAGACTCAAGCGTCTTCCGTTGTATTTAAAAAAGAGCTTTATCCGAACATGGAGCGGACCCCAGTGAGCGGCCTTCACCTCGACACGTAACACGCAAGTTACAGAAGGCCGAGCACTCAGAGCAGAAAGGAAACAGTTTAACGATGCCCTGTACATAAGCTGGCTGCTTTTCTACCCTTCTTGTTATTATTATGGGGAATAGAATGTTATTTTTTGTAAGCGATTTCTCAGTTTGTTTGTGAGTGAGGGGTTTCTGACGCTAGTCTTCCAGACGACTGAATGTGAGATTGTGTTTGTTCCTGGTTTGCAATAAAAGATGATTGTGAAAATAATGTTTTTTGGAGTTTGTTTTTGAAGAGAAATGAGTAGTCTTTGTTTATAGAGCAGGTTTCACAGACCGAGGTCACACAAAGCTCTTTACAATGTTGTGTTTCACTGATGTGTGTCCTTTCACTCCACACACAGTGATGACAGTGTAGGACGTGTTGTTAGCCACAGCCCCTGAGGAAACACAAGCAGACACCAGAAGAACAACTCTGCACAGAAAGGCCCCGACTGGAGATGGAATTGAACCCAGGACCTTCGTGCTGTGAAGCACAAGTGCTAACCACTGCACTCACCGTATTTCCACCTTCGTCACGATGAAACCCAAACATGAGGCTCACTTCATCTCCGATGACTCTAAACAACAAACTATATTTGTCCAGTTTCTTCATCTGTTTCCGGGTTGTGGATAAACGCACACCTCCTGCAGCTGAGAGTCGAGCCTAAACTGGCTCCACTCGACATGGAGAAGCAGCGGCTCTACTCCAAGCTCCACACCCTCGTTCCCCTGAGACAGACACGTGAAACCTCTCCTCCTGAGGCCACACTGGAATACCAGCGACTGTTGGACCTAATTTCTAATGTTTTTCTCGGGCTTCATTTTTCACACATAAATATCTGATGATAGATATTAAATGTCAGGTCAGAGCGAGGAGTGTGACCGGCTTCTGAGCTCTGTACGCAGCACACACTTTATACTTTATCTGTACAAACTGAGGAGGCCTCAGGGGCCTGATAGAAGGCTCCAAAGGGCCATTTCAGGCCCTTGGCCGCGGTTTTCCCACCACTGCCCTAAGCCCATAACTGTAGGGAAGGTTGGGAACATAGTCTGACCTGTAAACTTATGTTTCTGATCTCAAAGATTACTTTGGATTAGAAAGGTTTGTAAGTGTTTGGGACTCGACCACGCTCAGAATTGTCCGTCTTCATGTGAACCTTGTGCAGCCTTCAGACAGAAGCAGAGGATTTACAGATGAAATGAAAAACAGACACACACAAAACATGACTTGACGTCCCATTTCTGCAGTTTTCAGAAACTATTCAGTCTCTTTGTTTGAACACTTTACACAGCTAAATGCAGTTAATGAGGTAAGTGACAATGAGTACAAGCTGTGTTGTTTTATTTTTGCTATTTCTACCAATATATTGTAAAAATGGGTTTAGCTGAGTATAAAGGGTAAAGAATAATAATTATAATATCTGTGAAGAAAAAGTATTTGAATAAATAAAATGTAAAAAAAACTGCCGTATCTGTCTTCAACACAGATACGGCTGTGATCTTTCAGCTTCGATCGAACCCAGGTCCAAAGACCAACGCTCTACCAAATGAGCTACTGTCGCCCATACAAAGTGTCCTTTCCTTTTCATGACTGTAGGACCACACCAGGCTGTGTAAGGGCTGTTTGACCAATAAGGAGAGAGATGGTGCTGGGCCACATGACCTCAACAGTCATCGGACGTGAACCCAGTCCAGGTGGTTTTGGGGCTGGACCACAGAGTGAAGGGGCCAACAAGTGCTAAGCATCATGGGAACTCCTTCAAGACTGTTGAAGACCATTTCAGGTCCTCTTGAAGCTCATCCAGAGAATGCCAAGAGTGAAGCAGTATCAGAGCCAAAGGAGCTACTTTGAAGAACTAGAATATAACACATATTTACACTTGGTTCATACTTTTTTAGTACGAACATCATTCACATGAGTTCATCATAGGTTTGATGCCTTCATTGTGAATCTACAATTTTCATAATCATGAAAATAAAAAACTTTTGGTCTGTACTGTATATATATATATACATATTATGTATATATAGATACACACGTTCATGATACACATAAACACCAGGATACACGCCTATATATTGTTGAGTTGAGTGTTTATTTGTTTTGAGTTCAATGTAAATCAGATATTATTATCAAATGTCACTACATAGGTTTTTGTACCATATAATTTATTAACAATGACTTATAAATTGTACATGATTCAAACTCAAAAAGGAGTGGGAGGAAGAATACACATATCGGTTCCCACCTGTGAATACACACTTACAGATATATGCACACACACAATATCAATGTCTATATAGTTAAGATTAAAACCATTGTACCTAAAGAATTTTCCTTCAATCCTATCCCTTCTGGGTTCAAACTAAACAACGTTTCGAAGTCTTGAGCATTTTCCCAGTTACTTCAAATAAAATGAATCTGTTTGGTGACAGCTTTTGTGTTCGGGTCCATCCATCTCTGTCTGGTCACTGTCCACACTGTGACTGTGTCTAAATGACCCGATAAGTCCCTCCCGGCCTTTCCCTTTGTCCTGCTGCGTCCACTCAGCACCCACTCCATCAGATCACACCTGCTGCAGCACCCAAGGGCCACCCACCTCCCACCCCCCAGGTACAGGCCCCTGAAGCCCCACTCTGCCGATCCAGGGTGTGACCTTTGTTGTGAGTGCAGCTCGCAGGTGAGTCTTAAGTGTCCATCTAATCCTGCATGTTGACCAGAGGAGTTTAGCTAAGTGACTGCGCTTAAAGGGGAACGGGTCTGAATGGGCGGATTTAAAGAGACATGCAGCGGATAAAGTGATCACCTGTGAGTTTGTATAGTATTTTAGTGCAGATGGGGTGTTAAGAAATAAACAAAAAACTTTAAATGCTAAAACAGTTTGTGGAAAGGCTAAATAGGAGGTCTGACTGTAGGTAGCAGTTAGTATTTTACAACTAGCTATAGTCAGGAATCAAAAAAGGGCTCATCTGTAACTTTGTTAAGACACAGCAACTTCAAACGTGACATTGACACGGGCACGTTCACAAGTTGTGTGTGAATGCACCTATGCAATAATGCATTGGTTTATATACAGTGCTTTTTTGGACTGTCAAAGATGCTTCAAGGCAACCAGTCTGTGCCATCAGCCCCTCCCACACACTCCAGACTCATTCTAATGTGAAGTGTCTTGCCTAAGGACACAACCACAATTTTGCACTTTACAGCCTCAGCCACCCTACTGTGGCCCCAGGTGTTCCCAGAGGTCTCCCATCTCAGTACCCAGCCCTGCTTAGCATCAGAGCTTCTGACAGCGTCTGGCTTTCACCTGCAGATATGGCCAGGTACAAACATGAACTGCAAGAGTAACTCCATCCATTAACAAACATCCAAGAGGAACTTCTAACCAGCGAAACATGAAAATCTTTTCTTGTTACAAATAAGTTTTATCAGTTTTTTTCTCAAGCCATTTCCCACTTGATATGAGAGAAAACTCCTGCCCTTGAAGTAAGCCACTCTTGCTCGTCCCGGTCACACACCTTGTTTTGCAACAAACTAAAAGATAAATGTGTCTTCGTTGTCGCTCGGTGAGTCTTCTGTCTGTTATCGGCCCTGACCTGGTCCCATCCATCACTGGACGGTCCGGCTGCTCCTGCCCCAGCACGCTCCCCACAGCTGGGCACCAAAGCAGCGACACATCCACACCTCATGTGTCCGTCACCAAAGTTGTGCATCTACTGGTGTTGTGTGATGTTTGTTTCGTACTCAGACCTTTCACGAGTAAGAAACTGGAAACGAAACCTTTTGTTCCAACTGTTTCTGTGATGGATTATTGTTGATCAATCAACCTTTTGGAATTCACACTGAAGTCTTGTTGTTGGATCCACTAATGCCATTGTCGCACATGCGGCTCTACTCCAAGCTCTTCTTGTGTGACTCCACTCCCTCTCTCTCTCTAAGGGAGCAGAGGAAACGTACGTGGACCACGTATCCGCGATCATCTTTTCAGCCATGACCCAAAGCTCATGATCAGAGGTGAGGGAGGGAACAGAGATTGAAGGAGAAATTGAGCTTTGCGTTTTGACTCAGCTCCATCTTTACCACAACCGTCTAACAAAGCTCTGACTGCAGACGCTGCTCCCTTCTCATTAAATGCTTCTTTCCTGGTTAATTGCAGGAGGGTCAAAGGACAATGTTGATGATCCAGGACAGGGTTACCTTCTAAAGTGGTCCACTAACTTGATCAGCTCAGTGGACTAGGGTCCGGACATCATACAACTGGATAAAAATGTTTTGTGATGTGGTTAAATCAACCACAACTTAAAGAGTGTAATACGCAGTACATATTCATAAGCCTATTTACTATAACAAAAAATGAATGAGAAAAATATTCTGAAACAAAGTCTCAAAAAACAAGTTGCTAGAAATGATCCAGACTGTTTGTCTGTTGTCATGGTCCGTTGTCATGGTGACAGTTGCCTTGTGTAGTGCTGGTTTCCAAGGCAACAGTTTCCATAGTGATTGAATGGAAATCACTATGGACAACCATAACTATGTAACTGTAAACAAACTCCCAAGAAAAAAGTTGCAAGAAATTTGCATTAAGAAAGCTAGACCCCTGATTTGTAACTAGAAAATATTTTTAAGTTCAAATCTTGGTGGAACCAAAATCCACCTTTGATGACAGCTCTCACTTTGAAGACAGTTGGACCCACCTCAATCACAACTGGAAAACTATATAAGATCCAAGCGTTTGTTTATGATTTTTTTTAAGCAGATACTCACAAAATGTGGTTCCATGGTGTAATGTTAGCACTCTGGACTCTGAATCCAGTGATCCGAGTTCGATCTCGGTGGAACCTCACTGTCATTTTCCCACCAAAAGCTGGACCCCTAAATTGTAACTCTAAATAAAAGTCAGAGTTAAAATCTCAGTGGAACTGAATGGTCAACCTTAAAGAAACCTGGACCCTTTACTGGACTTAATTTTCCTTTGTCAACTTGCTTTCCATGTGGTTCCATAGTGTAATGGTTAGCGTTCTGGTCTCTGAATCCAGTGATCCGAGTTTAAATCTCAGTGGAACCTCGCTGTCATTTGCCCACCTTTAGCAGAAAGCTGGACCCCTGAACTGTAACTTGAACAAATGTAAGAGTTCAAATCTGGGTGGAACCTCAGCCTCAATTGTCAACCTTTAAGCAAAATTCACCAGATTGAGTTGGCATGATAATGGTGATGTTGCCATGGTTGCAATGGTAAATATTGCCATAGCAACAGCTGCTATATTAAAGATTCACCAGATTGTCTGGCCCTTTTCATGGAAACAATTGCAATGGTGATTGTTTCCATTGTAATGTTGCAATGGTAATTATTTCCATTGCAATGGTTACCATGTTAACTACCCATAGCAACGGTTGCCATGGTGACTATTGCCGTAGCAACGGCCCATGGTTACTATTACCATAGCAACAGTTGCAATGGAAACTATTGCAATAGCAACGGTTACCATGGTAATTATTGCCATAGCAACGGTTACCATGGTGATTATTGCCATAGCAACGGTTGCCATGGTGACTATTACCATAGCAACGGTTGCCATGGTGACTATTACCATAGCAACGGTTGCCATGGTGGCTATTACCATAGCAACGGTTGCCATGGTGACTATTACCATAGCAACGGTTGCCATGGTGACTATTACCATAGCAACGGTTGCCATGGTGACTATTACCATAGCAACGGTTGCCGTGGTGACTATTGCCATAGCAACGATTGCCATGGTGACTATTGCCATAGCAACGGTTGCCATGGTGACTATTGCCATAGCAATGGTTGCCATGGAGACTACCATAGCAACGGTTGCCATGGAGACTACCATAGCAACGGTTGTCATTTTAATGGTAACAGTTGCAATGGTGATTGTTCCACCTAGTCATGGTTGCCATAGTGACTATTGCCTTAGCAATGGTTGCCATAGCAACATTTGTCATATTAAAATGAGATTTACTCGATTGTCTGGCCATTTTGACGTGGTCGGCACTAGATCATATACGGAATCGGGACGAAACCGGAAGTAACACTCCTACTTTTGAATTAGTTTTAGACTAATAAGTCCTTAAGTGGTGACTGGCTACGTTTTAGGCGTCTGAGTAAGATGGTTGTTAGGGTTAAGGTGGGTTGGGTTTTTTTATGGGAAGGGCTGGTTAAGTTTAGGCATGAATAGGTAGTTTGTTATATTTATATTTACTTCCGCTTCCGTCCCGTTTCCGTATATGATCTAGTGCTGACCGTTTTGTCACCAGATGAACCATAGACTGTTAATATTTATGGCCATATTCTTGTCTCCTCTCCTCCTTGTCTCCTCCTCCTCCTTGTCTTCTCCTTCTCACTCTGAGCTTTCTGTGCACAATCTCCACATAATTATCTTTTTCTCACAAAATTAAGATGAATAGGATTTTTTTGTGAACCACAGGCTCTATGTGTTTTTTCATTATTGCATTTCTTATGTTTTAACTGTTCGATTCTCTGGGTAGGCCCATTGGATCCTAACCCCCCCCACACACACACTCACCTCTCTGTCAGACCAGTGGTCGTTCCCAGGGCTGTGCATTGTTTGGAGAGGATTAAAATTCAGCTGAGATTAAAGTAGAGAACAATGAGGAGACGTCAGAGCAGAACTGTGAGTGCGGAGGCCACCCATCCTGATCAGAGGGTCACCTGCCCCCCCCCCCCTGACCCACCTGCCCCACCTGCCAGAGGGGACTTGAGCTGAGGTAGGGGGACACTGGACATACTGCACTGCTCTTTAACTTGTAGATTTTTTGTCAGTTTAACAGTGCTTTTACTTGGAATACAGTGGCTAATACACACTCATGACAACAAACAAAACATTTACGTGAGAGATAAAATATCACTATTTAATTTATAATTTTGGCACCACTGAAAATCTACCAAGAGCCGGCTGTCTGCCCAAACTAAAGCAAAACACAGATCACAGATGCAGACACGAGGCCCATGGTCTGGAGGAGCTGCAGAACATCCACAGCTCTCTCTGGAAATCTGAACGTGGGGAAAATGGTATTCATATTCTACAAAGATCTGGGCTTTATCGGCAAGTAGGAAACAGAAAGTCAGTCCTGAAATGAACAAAACTGCATCTTCTTCAGAGCACCATCCCCAATGTCCAATATGGGGGTGGCAGCATCATGCTATGGGCCTGATTTTCTTCAGCAAAGACAGGTAAGAGTGTCAAAGTTGATGGGGAGGAAGATGGTAAAAAATACAGGACAATGTTAGAAGAAAAGCTTAATATTTATTGCTCTTCACTCTGCTCTCAGTCCCCAGAGTCCAACCTGATGGTGTTATGTGCAGAAGAATGGGCAAAATGATTGATGTGCAAAGCTGATAGGGACAATCACAAGACTGTAATTTTAGGAAACGGAAAGAAACCCATAAATGATATTAATTGTATTAATATTGCACCTTACATTTCCATGAAACTTCAAAGTGGTACAGATGAAAACACAACACAACGGTTTCCATGGGGACTGTGTGTGTGTGTGTGTGTGTGTGTAGACATGTGGAGCCCACACTCCATCATCTGCTGTCATTTCATCTGCATCAGAAATGCTGCTCTCAGCTGTTTGTTCCAACTGCAGCAGAGTCAGCAGCAGAGGGAGAAGTAGCAGGAGTCGACAGGAGTAAGCAGGAGTCAACAGGAGTCAACAGGAGTCAACAGGAGTCAACAGGAGTCAGCAGGAGTTAACAGGAGTCAACAGGTGTAAGCAGCACTGGTCCATGGATCTATAATAACAGCTTATACAGTAGCTGTCCCACGTATGGGCACAGGGGGCACCCGTGGTTAGACTGTGTTTTATGATTAGTACAAAAGCTTCAGGTTCTGTTACTTTGGTCGAAGCATCTGTCTGTAGTGTTCAAGCAGTAGAAAAAAACTGTAATACAAGATTCACCAGATTTTCTGGCCATTTTCATGGTAACAGTTACAATGGTGATTATTTCCGTAGTGATGTTGCCATAGTGATTGACAGTCACCATGGCAATCGATAATTATTGCCATAGCATGATTGTCATGGTAACTATTGCCATAGCAACGGTTGTCATGATGACTATTGCCATAGCAACGGTTGCCATATCAAAACAAGATTCATCAGATTGCTGTACTGCAGACTAAATTCACGTGGGCTACCCAGAAAAGTCCCATAGAACTCAAAGTAAACTACAATTACAGTTACTATGAAAATAATTTTATACATACATAAAACATTTTTCTTGCTTTTTTCTACCCGATTTGTTGCTGCAGTTCAGTGTTCATGGTTTTACACTGGTCCAAACAAGAGCAGAGATGATTCATGGTTTTACACTGGTCCAGACCAGAGCAGAGCGGATTCATGGTTTTACACTGGTCCAGACCAGAGCAGAGAGGATTCATGGTTTTACACCGGTCCAGACCAGAGCAGAGAGGATTCATGGTTTTACACCGGTCCAGACCAGAGCAGAGAGGATTCATGGTTTTACACTGGTCCAGACCAGAGCAGAGAGGATTCATGGTTTTACACCGGTCCAGACCAGAGCAGAGAGGATTCATGGTTTTACACTGGTCCAGACCAGAGCAGAGAGGATTCACGGTTTTCACCGGTCCAGACCAGAGCAGAGAGGATTCATGGTTTTACACCGGTCCAGACCAGAGCAGAGAGGATTCATGGTCCAAACCAAGTGGACCAGGTGAAAACCCACTGGAGGAATGCTAACTTTTCTCAGCAAGAAGATCCAGGGTTCTTGTCTCTGACATCCTCAGAGACACATCTTGACTCTTGACACGTGCCCAACTGCGGTCGCTGCTTAAACCTGCCCTCATCACACACACACAACTCACAACACACGACACAGACGCACAACACACGACACAGACACACAACACACGACACATAACACAGCACCAGCTCCCACTGTGGCAGACGTGGTCCAGTCCTGTCCGCTCCGATAGCCTCAGCTTCGGGGCCCTCGGCGGGGGTCAGGGGCCCGGGCAGCAGCCTTTAAAGCCTCGCGGTCAGGGGCCCTAATTACAGAGACTTAGTGGAGGGGCCGTGCTGTGAGGGTCAGAGGGGGAAGCGTCTGAGCACCGGGAGCGGGAGGGCGGGGTGTTTTGGAAACGCTCTGCTCCAGCGGCTTCTCTCTTCTGCTGCGGTGGGTTCTGCTGCGGTGGGTTCTGCTGCGGTGGGTTCTGCTGCTGCGCTTCCACAGATACTTCAACAAACATCCTTAAAGACGGGGACCCTTGTCATTTTTGTTTATGATCTGGGTATTAACAGAAAGATTCATTGGCTCTTGGTTATTGCTTTTATTTGTAGATATTGAGAGTAGCAATATGTGAGATTTTCAAGTCAAGTCACCATTTAAGGGCCCTAAACTGTCATCATTAAAGGGCCCTAAACTGTCATCATTAAAGGACCCTAAACTGTCATCATAAAGGGCCCTAATCTGTCATCATTAAAGGGCCCTAATCTGTCATCATTAAAGGGCCCTAATCTGTCATAATTAAAGGGCCCTAATCTGTCATCATTAAAGGGCCCTAATCTGTCATCATTAAAGGGCCCTAAACTGTCAAAAGGCAAAACATCATCTTCTTGTTATTGTTTTCATTTCGATGTCCCGCCCTCCACCGTTTCACCAATCAGAAAGTCTGTGATCCGGGCGCCAGAACTCACCGCGTGGAGCTAATCTCACTGGTAAAGTACCATGTGGCGCAGAACTAAAAAAGGTCTCGTTATGATTCTCAAATCATTAACAACAAAACAAGGAATAAAACCAGGATTTCTATCTTTGTGAAAAAGGTGTTGGTTATAGATTTGTTGTTGACAAAACTCTTGTCTATTCAGCTGTTATGGTCCCAGCTGGATTCGTCTGCCAGATTTTACATGTTGCTCCTTTAAAGCTGGGTTGATTTTGAATGTAAGTAAATAAGTAATGTTTATTTATAAAGCGAATTCTACAGATCAAGGTCAGACCCAAAGCACTTTACAAAGTTCAGAGTTCAGATATTGTTTCATTCTCTCCACACGGTGAACACACTGGACCATCAAAGCCACTCACTCACTCAGACCTATTGTGCATGTTTTTAGTGGTAGGGGAAACCAGAGCACCCGTAGAACATATGCAGACACGGGGAGAACATGCAAACTCCACTCAGAAAGGTCTGGAGGTGGAATCAAATCCAGGACCTTCTTACTGTGAAGCACAAGCTCAAACTGCTGCACCACCGAGTCACCCAGGCAGGTGAAGAGGGCATTGCAGGTGAGTTATGCCCTGTCCTTGCCAGTAGGGGGCAGTGTACGGTAAGTCTGATAGTGAGATACAGGAAGCTCGTGGATAATGGCAATGTCCATTTAGTGAGGTATTGCTGTTGATTGGCCGTGAAGTCTGTCTGGAAGTGTGGTGTGTTTGATTCTTCATGTGCCTTTGGTTTTTGTAGTGTGTCCTGTTTGTTTTTTATTGGTCCAGAAGAATGACGGTAAATTTGACTCCTATGAGATCATTTTCTCTCCCTTTAAATAATCCATCTGGTTTGTCCCAACAGAAAGACTCTTGAGTATAGTTGTAAGACAGTGAGTCGCTAAATAACGCTTTGGAGTAAGAGTTGATTGGCCGAGTGAGGGTGGTCCCCCTTTTTTCACTTTAATGTGTGGAAAAGGTGGGTCTAGATGTGTCTAAAGTCAGAAAACACGGAACTATTGTGAGATCCAAGAACCACCTCATACATCAATGGACTGAGGGCCAAATCTATTGTTTCAGATCAATGTTGAGATTTACATAAAACGTGTTTGTGCAGATGTGTAATTAAAGATGTGTTTTGTATGGACTTCACTTCGTTCTCTGAAAGGCAGACACCCAGAGTATTTCTCCTCCTCTAAACCCATGACAAGGATTGACACTTAATCTTTTACTGTACAGTGTTTTACTGTATTTACCACCGCTGTAATCTCAGAGGAGCTGTTTTTGACCTCATAAAAACACTACTTCCTCAGAATCGACTCGTGTCATTTACTGACACTGGTCAAATAATGTTCCACTTTACCTCCAAGTCTTGCAGAGTGTAACCACTTCCACCACTAGATGGGAGGTTTAGGTGTATTTTAGTCATTTGTTTTCTCATTAGTTCACTCTACCTTCTAGAGCCCTATTCACACCAGAACATGCTGCAGGTTTACAGGCAACTGTGATTACTGTGGTTGGAAGTCACAAGAAAGAATCATTTTATTCTGGTGCAGCTTCATGAGCAGATGGAGGTACTCCTGTGATCTGACGTCTTTGGAGGATCTCAGGACCCAGGACCCAGGACCCAGACCCACAGAGCTGCACTTGTGTTGAAAGACTATCGGGCTGTTTCCACGGGCTCCACTCTACTCCACTCGACTCTCACCACTTTGCAGGCCGGTTGTTTTTTCTGTTTTTTATGGGTTATTAGGCAACGTGTTATTATGTTTTTTGCAGCAGCTGATGAGTGATTGACCAATCTGACCAATCACAATTGACGTTCGCTGACGTCTCATAAGTAGAACATACAGAAACTCCAGTAACGTTAGTAACGTCTTTATTCAACAGGTGCCATTACAAGTAGAGATATCAGTACGCTACCTGCCTACTCATTATGTATGCGCCGTACACACAAGATACACTCTTTTGAAGACCAGGTCTTCGCAGGTCTTCGCAGGTCTTCAAAAGCACGACAACAGTGTGGCGCTGTGGCGTTGGTGGAAACAGGGCTGTAAACAGGAGAAGCTAAAGTCACATGTTCTCTGAGGCTCGCGGTGTCGCTCTGATCTCCCTGACCTGCGTGAGCCTCGCTGTTGCCGTGCGGCTGTCAGCGGCACTTTGAAGTACAGCTGTTCTGATTGGACGTAACGAAGGCGGCTCACCCCCTGCCGGCCAATCACACGTGAGGACAGCGCCTCATGCAGTTTGATGGATCACAGCTTTGATCCCGGCCCCTGCTTTTGGATCACAATAAAACATGTATTTCTGTTTCTGACATTATCTTTGACTCTGTATTTATCTAATTTACAAGTCAGGAACTTCTGACCCAAACACATCCCCCCACCCTTTCTGTTTCACTGCTCTGTTTCCAAACACGGTACACTACGATGAGGGCTCCGACTGTGACATCATGAACAGAGCCAAATGTCCACACGCTTCACCACATCGTGCACTGAAAATGTCCCAGAAAGTAGTGAGCAGGGAACGGATACAGTCATGGTGTGAGTCTTTGAGTGGGGGAGAATAGTCCATCTGAATACAGCTTACAGTATGTTTACACTCAATAATGACCACACAAAGACTTTTAAATAAACCACTACAGCTTTAAGGACAAACAGACGAATGATGATGATGATTTTTTAAGTAATGGAAAAAAAGATTCCACTCAGACACTTGGGCCACGTCAGGAGAAAGAGCTGCTCCTACAGCCACAGACTGAGAGGACTGTGGAGACAGAGGAGAGAGGGAGAGAGGAGAGGGAATGAGGCGGACGCCCAGTCATAGCTAGAGTTTCACTTTTTGTGGTCTGAAAGTCAGGTACCCCAGCTTTAAAGAGCATTTTTAAGGAGACATGTTTTGTTTTGTTTGATGAACATGTTATCCTTAGTGACAAATTGTAAATAGAAAGAGAGAGAGAGAGAAGAGAGAGGGAGAGAGAGGTGAAAAGAGAGAGAGAGAGAGAGAGAGAGAGATGAAAAGAGAGAGAGAGGGAGAGAGAGAGAGAGAGAGAGAGAGAGATGAAGAGAGAGAGAGGAGAAGAGAGAGAGGAGAGAAGAGAGAGAGAGGAGAGAGAGAGAAGAGAGAGAGGAGAGAGAGAGAGGAGAAGAGAGAGAGAGGAGAAGAGAGAGAGGAGAGAGAGAGAGGAGAGAAGAGAGAGAGAGGAGAGAGAGAGAGGAGAGAGAGAGGAGAAGAGAGAGAGGAGAGAGAGAGAGGAGAGAAGAGAGAGAGAGGAGAGAGAGAGGAGAGAGAGAGGAGAAGAGAGAGAGGAGAGAGAGAGAGGAGAAGAGAGAGAGGAGAGAGAGAGAGGAGAGAAGAGAGAGAGAGGAGAGAGAGAGAGGAGAAGAGAGAGAGAAGAGAGAGAGAGGAGAGAGAGAGGAGAGAGAGAGAGAGAGAGAGGAGAGAGAGGAGAAGAGAGAGAGGAGAGAGAGAGAGAGGAGAAGAGAGAGAAGAGAGAGGAGAAGAGAAGAGAGAGAGGAGAGAGGAGAGGAGAAGAGAGAGAGAGGAGAGAGAAGAGAGGAGAGAAGAGAGAGGCGAAGAGAGAGAGAGGAGAAGAGCAAGAGGGAGTAGAGTAGAGGAGTGGAGAGGAGAAAGGGAGAGGGAGGAGAGGAGAGAGGGAGTAGAATGTAGAGGAGAGAGAGGAGAAAGGGGGAGAGGCTGGGGCCAGACAGGGCCCAGACGCTCTTATTGCAGCCGGATTATATTTGGCTGGAAGTGCATCGTCACGGCGACCAGAGGCTGGGGGGTGATCATGTGACCGGGGGAGGCACATTTCTTTTGTGTTTTTTTATTACATTTCAAAGTTTGGGTCAATTTATTTGTGTACAGCCTTAAATCACAGCATTAGTCGTCTTGGATGATAGTTGTTGATTCACCAACACAGATAAAAAAAATCAACAGTTTAACCACAGGAAATGTAATCATAACAAACGCAAAGAGCCATTGGTCCATCAGGGGCAGATGACAAATGTCCAAAGTGAGAACCCTCGGGGAGATCCACATTGAGGGAGGGTAGATCCAGGACTCAGACTGTACAACGAGGACCGAGGCCACACGATGCAGGATCAAGGCACCTCTCAGGCAGGGAGGAGGTGCAGCCAACGAGTCTGGGGCGAGGAGGACAGTCCACAGGGGCCGATGGAGGAGGCCGGGTTCAGGCATCCCATCATCACAACAGACAATGGGACAGCGGGTGAATAGCAATGAACAGATGACGTCATAATGAAGACAGATGCAGGAGGAGCGAGGAGAGGATAGAGCTCACGTTACTTCTCCAGCAAAGACTTTTTAGACCTAAGGTTGTATTTCTAGTCTTACCTGAGTCTTACCAAACCGTAATCTAAATTAAAGAGGACTGCTTTAAGCCTGGCCTTGAACGTAGAGAGTGTCTGCTTCCTTGATGCGGATGAGGAGCTGATTCCACAGTAAAAGATCTTGGAGCTAAACACTTTGCCGCCGACTGCACTTTTTGACTCTCTAGGACCAGGAGAAGTCTTTGCTAGCGCAGTGAGAGAGTTTGGGTGATGTTGTGTCTTAGAGAATTCACGCTATGGGCTCAGAGCTGATTGGCTGAACAGTGGTCTGCTCTATTTCACAAACTGTTGATAGATCAAGAAACTATTTAGTTGTTTAAGGGGAAAAATGAACCCAATAATGCAGAATATTGTTCTTTTAATAATCTCCCGTCCTCCCTCCCTCTCTGCTTCGCTCCCTCTTTCTTGTATGAGCTGCTGGAATGTAGAATATGCCTTTTGCTCATTTATAATGTCGTGGCCTCAGGAGTGACACACAGCACAAATATGCAGCCTGTGATCCCTGCAACCAGGAGACTTTTATTACGTTTTACATTCTGTCCCTGCAGAGAGAGGCTTTGGAAACAATAGGATGTAAAGATGGATGCTTTTTCAACATATCTCTGGGACAAAACTAATTCAACACTGAAAATACATGAGAATAGACTCAGAGGGCACAGTGTGAGTTCCAGAGAATGTTCTAGTTGTATATTTTACCAATTATTTGACAAAACTTGACAAACTGAAAGCTAGACCAAATATAAACAGTGAACTAAAATAGTGTCAGTGAGTCTTGACTGTGCTGACTGTAGAGCTGTGCTGTGATGCATCATGACGGCCTCCCACCTGCAGGGGGCGTCTGAGAGATGAGTCCCACAATAAGGTCCAGGTTTTTACTGAGACATTCAGCCAGAGACCTGTCCACCTCCGAGACCTGTCCACCTCCGGGACCAGTTCATCTCTGAGACCAGTCCACCTCCGAGACCAGTCCACCTCCGGGACCAGTCCATCTCTGAGACCAGTCCACCTCCGGGACCAGTCCATCTCTGAGACCAGTCCACCTCCGGGACCAGTCCACCTCCGAGACCTGTCCACTTCCGAGACCTGTCCATCTCCAACAGACCTGTCCACCTCAGAGACCAGTCCAGCTCCGGGACCAGTCCATCTCTGAGACCAGTCCCCCTCCAACAGACCTGTCCACCTTTGAGACCAGTCCATCTCTGAGACCAGTCCACCTCTGACACCAGTCCACCTCAGAGACCAGTCCACCTCCGAGACCTGTCCACCTCCAACAGACCTGTCCACCTCTGAGACCAGTCCATCTCTGAGACCAGTCCACCTCCAACAGACCTGTCCACCTCTGAGACCAGTCCACCTCTGACACCAGTCCACCTCAGAGACCAGTCCACCTCCGAGACGTGTCCACCTCCAACAGACCTGTCCACCTCTGAGACCAGTCCATCTCTGAGACCAGTCCACCTCCAACAGACCTGTCCACCTCTGAGACCAGTCCACCTCTGAGACCAGTCCACCTCCGAGACTTGTCCACCTCCAACAGACCTGTCCACCTCTGAGACCAGTCCATCTCTGAGACCAGTCCACCTCTGACACCAGTCCACCTCAGAGACCAGTCCACCTCTGACACCAGTCCACCTCAGAGACCAGTCCACCTCCGAGACCTGTCCACCTCCCACAAACCTGTCCACCTCTGAGACCAGTCCACCTCTGAGACCAGTCCACCTCCGAGACCTGTCCACCTCCAACAGACCAGTCCACCTCTGACACCAGTCCACCTCAGAGACCAGTCCACCTCTGACACCATTCCCCCTCTGAGACCAGTCCACCTCTGAGACCAGTCCACCTCCGAGACCTGTCCACCTCTGAGACCAGTCCATCTCTGAGACCAGTCCACCTCTGACACCAGTCCACCTCCGAGACCTGTCCACCTCCAATAGACCTGTCCACCTCTGAGACCAGTCCATCTCTGAGACCAGTCCATCTCTGAGACCAGTCCACCTCTGACACCAGTCCACCTCCGAGACCTGTCCACCTCTGAGACCAGTCCATCTCTGAGACCAGTCCACCTCTGACACCAGTCCACCTCAGAGACCAGTCCACCTCCGAGACCTGTCCACCTCCCACAAACCTGTCCACCTCTGAGACCAGTCCACCTCTGAGACCAGTCCACCTCCGAGACCTGTCCACCTCCAACAGACCAGTCCACCTCTGACACCAGTCCACCTCAGAGACCAGTCCACCTCTGACACCATTCCCCCTCTGAGACCAGTCCACCTCTGAGACCAGTCCACCTCCGAGACCTGTCCACCTCTGAGACCAGTCCATCTCTGAGACCAGTCCACCTCTGACACCAGTCCACCTCCGAGACCTGTCCACCTCCAATAGACCTGTCCACCTCTGAGACCAGTCCATCTCTGAGACCAGTCCATCTCTGAGACCAGTCCACCTCTGACACCAGTCCACCTCCGAGACCTGTCCACCTCTGAGACCAGTCCATCTCTGAGACCTGTCCACCTCCCACAAACCTGTCCACCTCTGAGACCAGTCCACCTCCGGGACCAGTCCACCTCTGAGACCAGTCCACCTCCCACAGACCTGTCCACCTCCGGGACCAGTCCACCTCTGAGACCAGTCCACCTCCGAGACCTGTCCACCTCTGAGACCAGTCCATCTCTGAGACCTGTCCACCTCCCACAAACTTGTCCACCTCTGAGACCAGTCCACCTCTGAGACCAGTCCACCTCCGGGACCAGTCAACCTCTGAGACCAGTCCACCTCCCACAGACCAGTCCACCTCTGAGACCAGTCCACCTCCCACAGACCTGTCCACCTCCCACAGACCTGTCCACCTCCCACAGACCTGTCCACCTCTGAGACCAGTCCACCTCCCACAGACCAGTCCACCTCCCACAGACCAGTCCACCTCCCACAGACCAGTCCACCTCCCACAGACCAGTCCACCTCCCACAGACCTGTCCACCTCTGAGACCAGTCCACCTCCCACAGACCAGTCCACCTCCCACAGACCAGTCCACCTCCCACAGACCTGTCCACCTCTGAGACCAGTCCACCTCCCACAGACCAGTCCACCTCCCACAGACCAGTCCACCTCCCACAGACCAGTCCACCTCCCACAGACCTGTCCACCTCTGAGACCAGTCCACCTCCCACAGACCAGTCCACCTCCCACAGACCAGTCCACCTTCCACAGACCTGTCCACCTCCCACAGACCAGTCCACCTCCCACAGACCTGTCCACCTCTGGGCTATATTAAACATGTAGGCTCTGGGCTACATGTTTAATAGAGAGTTGACCATAACCCACTGACCAAGAGCCCCCAAACTCGTCCATGCCATCTCTCTGAATACTGGCTGGGAGGTCACTCTCAGGTTCCACTGGATTGGTCAGGGGGGGTCCCAACACTTACTTATCTTGTATGAAAAAGGCGTGTTGTCTTGCCCCGAGAGTCACTATTTGACTCTTTGGGCTGAGTGAGGGTGGCTCTCTTCTTCTAATGAAACAGCACAGTTAAAAATCCTCCAGAGAAGTAGACAATGCTCAGAGCTCTCCTGTGTACTAGGCCTCTCTGTCTACCACGGGGAGAACATGTTTGCATGTTCTCCCCGTGTCTCTGTCGCCACAGTGCCCTTTCCTTACACCCAGAGCGACTGGGCTGGCTTTTGCTCATATCTTTAATCCACAGACAAAGAAATAAGTTCTTAGTGGACGTTGTATTTTGCAGCGGCTGCGTTTCCTCTGCCATCTGCTAAAGGCATACGCAGTGGAAGATGCGAACAATAGAAGTTCTCGGAGCAGTAATCGTAGACAGCTTCATAAGAGCTGCCTGCGTTACCTTCAGGGACCTCAGGAAACTCTATTAGCGGCAAACATCCTGTCCAGCCCACGCATGCGAGGACTTGGCTCAGAGCGGCTCATCGAGAGAGTCAAGTGGTTGCCCTCGCGCTGTGGGATGATATCCAGGTAAGAGACTCTTGGGGAGACGGATGTTACTGATGAGAATGTCTTAAACAGATCTGGGAACAGCGGCTCAGTCTAATAGAAATGTGAAGCAGGAAGTGTGTTGTTTTAGACCAACAGTGAGGAAACACGGGCCAGAACACATGACCTGTGGCCTCAAACATGTGGGTATTCTGTGGCCCCCTAGTGGACATCGACCTTTAGTGTCAGTGTGGCGCCCACTGAGAGTCAGGGCTGATGTGGCACGTTATACATCATTTTAAAAGCCACATCAAATCAGTAACATCAGCAGCTTTTTATCACCTAAAAATATGGCCAGGATCAAAAACATAGTGTCTAAAGCAGATTCTTATCCATGCATTTGTCTCTAGTGTTACAGCTGCTCAAAAACATCTGCAGCTTGGGTCCTGACTAGAACCAGGAAGTACCAGTACATTAGTCCAGTCCTCAGGTCTCTGCACCTGTGGCTCAGAGAGAGGACTTCAAAGCAAGTCTGCTTGTTACAAGTCTCTGTGACAAGTTAGTGACATATGAACAAACTGGGACTCTGAGGAGCACAGGGACTGGCCTCCTGCTGGGACTCTGAGGAGCACAGGGACTGGACTCCTGCTGGGACTCTGAGGAGCACAGGGACTGGACTCCTGCTGGGACTCTGACGAGCACAGGGACTGGCCTCCTGCTGGGACTCTGAGGAGCACAGGGACTGGCCTCCTGCTGGGACTCTGAGGAGCACAGGGACTGGCCTCCTGCTGGGACTCTGAGGAGCACAGGGACTGGACTCCTGCTGGGACTCTGAGGAGCACAGGGACTGGCCTCCTGCTGGGACTCTGAGGAGCACAGGGACTGGCCTCCTGCTGGGACTCTGAGGAGCACAGGGACTGGCCTCCTGCTGGGACTCTGAGGAGCACAGGGACTGGACTCCTGCTGGGACTCTGAGGAGCACAGGGACTGGACTCCTGCTGGGACTCTGAGGAGCACAGGGACTGGCCTCCTGCTGGGACTCTGAGGCGCACAGCGACTGGACTCCTGCTGGGACTCTGAGGAGCACAGGGACTGGTCTCCTGCTGGGACTCTGAGGAGCACAGGGACTGGACTCCTGCTGAGACTCTGAGGAGCACAGGGACTGGTCTCCTGCTGGGACTCTGAGGAGCACAGGGACTGGACTCCTGCTGGGACTCTGAGGAGCACAGGGACTGGACTCCTGCTGGGACTCTGAGTCAGAACCAAACATGAGGAGGCAGTGATTCAGATTCATGCCGCTAAAATCTGGAACAGTCTTCCCGAAATTGTGAGACAGGCTTCTTCTCTGACAATGTTCAAATCCAGGTAAAAACAGTTCTGTCTCGCTGCAGCGACTGAGGGATTGTATCTTTATCTTCACTCTTTTTAATGTTCAGTGATTATTTATGCCTTTAATGCCTTGTGTGTGTTTGTTTCTGTCTTGTTTTGTTCAGCACCATGAGTTACCTGCGTTTGAACTGTGCTATACAAATAAACCTTGCCTTGTTTAAAGCAAATGTTATCAAGGAAACACACCATTTAATTTTCCATAACCATTAAACCTTGAGTGAAATAAACAATAATTGAAAGTAAACATTAGTGAACATTACAAAGCCCGTTTTGTTTCAATCCAAGCAGCTGGACTCGGACTGCGTTAAGAATTATATCAAATCATTCAACACAAGGAACTATTTGGTGCCTTTGGAAATGATCTAAATTCACATCCTCCAATATCAACGATCCAGTATGTAATTTATTTTTTGTATTTAAGAAAGAAGATTTTGGACGGATAGGGAGTAAGTAAGCTTTATTTATACCGCGTCTTTCACAGACCCAGGCCACAAAGGTTCACACACAGTTAAAACAGACAAAACTATTTAAAATGTGCGTACCAAAAATAAATGTATAATGGCCAAGACAACTCAGTGACAGGTTTGAAACAGCCGCAAGAAAATTATGTAAAAGCTTTCCCAAATAAATAGGTTTTTAGCTGACCTTTGAATGAATCAACCGACTCCATCAGCCGCAGAGAGAGCGGAAGATTGTCCCAGAGCTTAGGGGCAACAGCCTGGAAGGACCGGTCTCCTCTGGTCCGAAAGCGCGTGCATGGGACCATCAACAGGTTCTGATTCACGGTTAATACCA